CTATCATCAACATAGAGTTAAGAACTGATGCCATCAGGAAGGTCATTTATAAAAATTAAGAACAATGTAGGCCCAATAATAGAGTTCACGGGAACACCAGCATTAATGTAAAAAATCTAGTGGCCATTCAAGACAACTTTAATTTTGTGATTTGATAAGAAAGACTGATTTGTCCAGAAATACCAAGACCTTTGAAAAAGGTCATGGTATTTCTGGACAAATTGAAAAAGACTGGTATGCCAAACCCTGTCAAATGCCTTTGAGATATGCAAAGCTTCATCATTCTTATCTAAAACTTGATAAATTCTTTCTTCAATATTCATTAACACATCAGCAGTTGGCAAAAGCCATACTGATTATCTGATTATCTGTGTGGTAAGATGCTTAACCAATTCAGAGTTGATTAAAGCATCTAGTATTTTACGAAAACAGGTACAAGGCTAATAGGCCAATAGACAGTTTGCTGAGTTCTTAAAGACTGGAATTACAGAAGAGGATTTCCATCAAACAAGAAGCAACAATGCATTTATTGTATAGTTTAGAGAGAACAAGAGCCAGTTCAGGAGCACTTTTCTTAAGGACTATTGCAGGCATACCATCAAGTTCAAATGCTTTGTGAGGATTCAGTTCAAAGATGATAGCAGAAACCATGTTAAAAATCTCTACTATGTGTTATATATTTGAAATATATAAAAAAAAAATTTATATTAAGTTGTCATTCATCGCTACTTGAATTTTGTATTAAATCAAAAATCTTAACTTATGTAATATTTGTCTAAAACATTTGTGCAACACTGTTTAATGTAGTAATTTGGTACCAATTTTGCCAAACTTGATCTCCAGAAGGCTTACCTGTAAGTTGAGGTAATACAATCCTCAAAAGAATTCCTCACAACATGCACTGTAGTTTATTCCAAATCTATTTGTGAAATAGTTTTACTTGAGTATTCGACAAGAAAAGCACTAACATTAGCACTGATACAAGTAATTTGTTAATTCCCTTTGAACTACTACTCATGGACACTTTTAACCTATAAATCACCTCCCACTCACTTCACAAAATCAAACACAACCAAAAAATTACAAATTAAGAAGAGCCAAACTCCAGAGAGACTCCTTCATTGTCATATAAGTATTGATCATTTCTATCGGTTCATTCAATCATATATTTTCCATTGCCTTCATTATGAAGTTTATTTTTTGCCTTTTTGCAAGGCATGTTTCCTTTGCATTAGAGAATTAAGTATAAGGAAATTGAGTCAAATATTCATTATCATGCAGAAATACTTGTAAGGACCTGTGAGAAAATGGCCATTTTAAGTAAATATCAATTAGTATACAAGCCTTTTTCTTGTTTCCCAAATAGATTTTCTTGAGTATGAGTTCATTCTGAACTGATTTCTTGTTTGTGCAACATTTGGTCATCTTAAAGAATTACACAATGGCCATCTTAAAGAGTTACACATTGATTATTTTCTATTGAAAGACAACACCCCTGAGTTCCTACTAATTCAGCAGCAGAAATGAAGACTTTAATAAGTTTTATATTCTTAAGATTCCTTGCACTTGGTACAAATTGATAACTCAGAGTTCCATCCAAAATGTTGTATTGGTGATGGAGTTACTATTTGCATATGTGTAAAAAGATTTTGAAATAGCTCAAAATAGATGTTTCAAAATTAATCTTTCCTACATGATACAAAACAGAAAGGTAACTCTTGAATACATGTCTTTAAGGTAAACGGTAATTAAGCAAGAAACAAATTGCTAATATTATGAGGTTGATTATTTTTCAATCTTTTGAATGAAATAAAATAAAAATACATTTAGTTACTTTCATTTTCAACCATTTTAATCTATAAACTTCTATTTAATTTGTGAAATGCCATTTTATCTTTTCTCCTTTATTATTCTGCGTGTACTTCTATAAATAGGTAACGAAAATAACTTCTTAAAATAATTTCAGAATAGCTTGTCAAATATAAAAATAGGAACAAAATCAACCACACTTCTTACTTAAGCAATTATCTTTAAGTATCATCTTACTTACACCCTTACATGGTATAAGTAATAGCTATAGCCAGCAGGTATTGGATAAAAAAAAAAATACACAAATGACACAAGTGAGACATTTCTGTTCCCATACAGAAATTCAATATGGGGCAGAAACTGAATTATACTTATATATATTAGAGTGTGTCCAATTGTAAAAAGTCATAAAAAATGAAAAAAATTAAGATAACTCGACAGGGTTTATTGGAAAACATAATTAAACAAATAAAGCTTTATTTAAACACATCCTCACGAGCTCCATTGGTTGCATGCAACACACCTAGACAATTGTCAATTTCTAACCATGTGCATTGGAGTATCTCCTTATTAATGGTGAATATTACTTGGCATATTCTTTTCTTGAGATCAAAGAGGTTTTGAAATTTTGTATAAACTCTGCCATATAAAGAAGTCTCTAGGCGTTATCTTAAATGAGCTGGGTGACCAAGGAACATGGCCACCTCTTCCAATCCATCAGTTTGGTAACATTTCAATGAAAAACTCATGAACAGCCAACCCCCAATGTGCTAGCGCACCATCCTGCTGCAAAGTTGGTTGCAAGCATTACAACTACAGAATAAGAAATTCTTGTAAAAGATCAAGGTAACTTGAATCAATACAATAAACTGTGGAAGCTTTTCCATATGGACACCCTGTATATAATTACTATCACCAGTTGTATATCTGTGCATTTATAGAGTACAAACCATTTTATCAGATAAAGGCCAATGTCGTTTATTTTCTATGTTTTGTCAAAAAAAAGCAAAGTGATATATAAAATTAAATAAAACTTGTCCTTATTCAAATGCTGACATTGAGAGAAACAAAAGCATCATAACAATATGTCATCATACTACTGCAAAAATATTTGGGTAAAAATTAGTTTTGGAATATTAACTTTTTTTTTAGTTTTTTTTTTTTTCAAACTTTTGTAATTATTTATTTGAGCTACATTTATTTCTTTTCACAAATAATGTTGATTTGTTAAACTCATTTAAAAATAAACATTTTTTTAAAAATTTTTATTAAATTTTATTTTAATTTGACAGCCACATAAATTAAGTCAAAATTATAATCAATTAAAATAAAAAAAAACAAAGCATCTTAAAAATTTCAAAATAATTCTTTGAAAATAACATCCTCCATTCAGACTTTGGTAGGAATTCTTTTTGTGGTAAAACAAAGAAAAATTATTTGTATTTTTTTGTTGGGTGGGGAATTTAAAGTTTCTTTTATAATTTCTTTGTCATTTTATTTAATTTTTTTTCAGTATTTAAGAAGTCATTTTGACATTTAAAAAGGTTTTGAATGGTTATTAAGAATTTTTTTCTAACCTCTTTTTATGTTTAAGAAACAATTAACAAAATATTTATTTTTCTGAAAACATTTTTCTTAACAGAATTTGCATTATTTAAGGAAGCATTTTAAGAAATGTTTACATGTTTTTTTCTAATTGTTAAAAATTTAAATTTTCTTAATGGAATCTGCATCATTGAAATTAAAAACATCATTTTAACAAATATTGGGTCAGAACAAAAGTTCATAGTGTGTTTTAAGTGAATTTCAAGGACAATATTTAGATATTTGTACAAAGATTTATTCAACGATATATGTGCCATTTTGTTCCCCTACCTTTAAGCCTTCATTTAGGCAGCTTCATGATTCCATGCTCCTAGAACTTGGCCTTTTTCTGGGTGATGAACTGGTCTAAGTGGTTTTAAAGGCTTCCAGAGAATTTAAGTTCTTCCCATTAAGAGAATTTGTAGGAATGAAAATAAATGTTAATTGAAAGGTGAGTATGGCAGGTGTAAATAGGACGTCCTAGTGAAACGGTACCAATTTCTGTCAGGTCTACAAAGTAATATGAGACCTGGGTTCATCCTTCTGATTTGCCAATTCTAGATGCTTTCAATTTCGGCATTTAATTAATTCAACTGCAAAGAGTACTTGTTTGAATTCAATGTCTCAAGAATTTGCAGAAGTAGCTTGTAATACACAATGCCCCCCCTCAATCCCAACAAACATAACATCACTTTATTCAGATACAAACCAGTTTTTGTTTTCTGCAAGACATTTTTCACTCAATGTTGTTTTGAACAATACATTTTTCATTGTGATTATTCTTTCCAAAAGTGATTCATTATGGTTGCATTTGAGTAGAGAGTTAAATTTTTTGCCATTAAATCATAATTTTCCCAAACATTACAGCGGTTCACATATCCAAGTGTTTTCAAATGCCTTACAATGCTCATATAAGTTATATAGAATATCTCTGTGATGTCCTATGTCATGTGATCTGGATTATTTTCAATCAGCAATTCAATTTGGTCATCATAAACTTGCCATGCTGCTGGAATATTTTCAATCTTCCAGAACAAAATTTCCATTTTTTACCTAGTGAACCACTTATGAGCAGTACTTTCTGCAATGGCACCATCTCCATAAATGGCACCTATTTTTTCGCTGTTTGTGCAGTGTTTTCCCTTTCTGGAAATAAAAGAGCATCAAATGACGAAAAAACATCTGATTTTTTTCCATTTTCACTTTTAATGTAAAAACATTTAAAATTCACAATCCACATATAATTCATCTAGAAATGTTCAGAATATGTCATAAATTTCAGACAATCACAATGAAAACACGAGTTCAAAAGCTATTGAAAAATGCTACAAACTTTTGTTCCAACCCAATCCCATGTTGGTGTATTGATATAGATCTAGGGTACAAAGATACTTATAAGTGATATGTATGTATGAAGAACCAAACAAACATTTACCCTTAACAGCTTTTTAATGTAATGCTCTTAGGAAAGGTTTGAATGTGAAAGATTCCAATTACAACAATAGCTTGTACAAATGAACAGAATATGAAGATGATATCTAAATATACATTGCTAATTAACAGTTGATGGAAAAGAGAGAGTGTACTTCCTCTCCAGAATTACTAACCAGGTATAGCAGCAGCAATCTGCTGCTTTAATGGTCAGCCAAGATGCAAGGCCAGGTACAGTGACAAACAGGAGGTATTTTCACTTGTATGCATCTACAAAAAGAATAGAGAATAATTAATAAATTGCATATAAATATATTGCAGCAAACATACTAAAGTTTTATCTTATAAATATAGCACTTTTATATTCATAGTTTATATTTAATATCCTTATTTTTAATCTTTAATTATTTTTTTAACTTGAACAAACAGAAAAATACATACACCTTTACAAGAAAAGGTTACAAATCATATCTCTGCTTATATACAACTACATTTATGGTCAATATATAGATATATCACATCAAAAGATGAAATTTATCTTTTTATCTAACTGCAAATAATATCTGAATTTCTGTTATTAGATTGTTTTGACTTAATACTTTCAGCAATATAAAAAATAAAATGTGGTTTCATTTTTGCAGTATTTATTAAAACAATGTAGACATTAGTTTAATATAAATTGTAACAATTGCTACAGAATTCTTTTGGAAATGGAGTAAAAATCTGTAACTACAAAGTAAATCAAAATTATGCAACCTGTGGTCAAATATGTTTTGTTTTTTCTAAGACCTAACTCAAGCAATATACATACCTACAAAAAATCTTATATGTACTATTATTTTTCATATGATTATATTATACATCTTATGTAAAGAATAAATTGATATATTTAAACTTTCTTTACAGATTATACTTTTGAAATTTGTTTGTGCTTGAAGCTAAGGATTAAGTCTATAATATGATGGATACTCTCTATTGGATGATTTCATATCTGTCTGCTAGTCAACCTCTCTACCCAACATTGGTAGATTTAAAGTTGATTGAAATTTCCATAAAGATGAACAAATTTAGCTGCAAGAAAAAAAAGAAACTTGCAGAATAGACAAAAGACACTTGTTTATAATAACAAAAATATTTTTATTCAGTTTGGATTACAAGCAGTACTATGGTTTTCATAACTATAACCAGTGGGTTAGTTCTCATGGTTAACCTCCCCCCCCCCCCAGTTCATTCGCTGTCTTAGTACACAGCACTTTGCACTGGACCTGTAAGTAAAGTTGGTTTGCAATCTTCCTTGGCTATTCTGCAAGCAGAAATTCTTGGAAAAAAAAATTCTCTTGCTGGGACACTTTTGATGCTAAATTGATTTCACAAGTATAGTTAATGAAAGGGTCTTTGTGATTCATCTATTTGTTACAACTCTTGGCTGCTTCTCCCAGCAACAATTCCTTAAGGACCAAAATTAAATGACTTATATTGAAGAAGATTGGGGCTTGAGACAACTGATTAATGATCCATTAGTTCAAATCAATCACATACCACACTCTCTCCAAATTTGATTTGGTCAATACTTTGTCTAGTTCCAACATTGCTATTTTGCAATTTCATTAGTCCAGGCCTCTTTATTTACAACCATTAAGGTGGAAACATTTTTATTCTATCATTAGATACTTCACCTTCAGTCAAATAGTCTATGGTGAAAATTTATAATTTTCTGCATTAAATAAAACATCTATAACAATATTCTTAAACCCTTATCAGTTTTCACCCTTAAATTCAAATGCACTTTGTAAATTTAACATATTTTACATCAAGTCAGGACATTGAGTAAACATATCGATCTCTCAAAGAGCCTCTTTATCATCTAAAATTAGCACAATAGACAGGTACTGTCGTAAGTCCCACCAGCCAACAAACCTTAGTAAACAAAAATCTTAATTTTTGTCTTGCATCAATTCAGGGTTCTTTTCCCAAAGGATTATTTTTTCCCCTTTTTTCAAAATTTAGTTAAAAAATAAAAAAGATATTGAGTTTGCTATAAAAGACATGTTTTCAATCTCACAGATAGAGTTGAATTTTATCTCCAAATTTGGATTAAAATATGTTTTTTGGCAACCAAGTGAAAGAACATATATGGTTAAAAAAAGGGTTAAATTTTTCTATTTTGTTTGTAAAATGTTTTTAGACAAAAAATTCGAAAATATTCAGTATTAAATTTGATTTTTTCAGTAGTTTTAAATGTACAAAATAGATTAAATATACAAGTGGCTGTGTGACAGAGGTATTCTTACTGAAAAGTATGATGCAATCAAAGACAAACTTAAAGATTTTGACAGATTCCTGGAAAAGTCAACTGATACAGTTCTAGCATTCACAGTATCACCACCTAAGTACTGATATTAAGTTTGAGACTCCAGAATTTCAACATTAGTTTATCTAAGAAAGACACATTTTTTTTTAATCATTTCACCCCAAGCAAGGTAATAAAGCTACTAGGACACAAGAGATAACTAAGTGTTAGAGAATATGTGAAAAACTACTATTAAGGAGAGAAGACAATGAAATATTAAGAGGACATAAGAAAATGATTGACATTGCATTTAATTTTTTGGAGATTGACAGGGAAGCAAGAAGCTGAAAAAGAGTTCCACAAGCGAGAAGAACAATAGAAGAAACTGTTAGCATAGAACTTACAGTTACATTTAGCCATTTCAACTTTAAATTGGTCACATACTATAGAGGAAAGTTCATCAGAACAATTACCATGAAAGTATTTATAGAAAAGACATAGGGAAGCTATGTTACAGCAGTGGAAAAGAGACTGAAGCTGAGTTGCCAGGTCAGGCATTGCAGATTCTTCTTTGAATTTTATCAAGAATCTTTAAATATATAGCAGGAGAACCAGACTAGATGTGGCTGCAATATTCAAAGCAAGGATAAATGGTAGAATATGTTGATAGATTCTGGCACAAAAAATTGTCTAGCATGACACAGTGAACCAAATTTCTTAAGTGCAGAATAGCAATTGATTCAATATACCCTTTCCACTTCATGTCAGCTTAAAATGTTAGTCAGGGAATGTGCAATAAGTCATTCACATGGAGATTAGCATCAACCATGATGGTGGAAAGTAAAAAAGGGTTCTTTCAGAGGATTAAAAGAGAGCAGTTTCATTTTTAAGAAGTTAAAATTAACAAGCCACTCCTTGCCCCATTTAACAACAGATCGGAGGTCATTTTTTTTAGATCAGCTGCCAATTTAAATTTATCAAATTGATCAGATTTACTTTTAAGACAGGAGTAAATAGTTGTGTCATCAGCACAGATACTGAGTTGAGAACTGATGACATCGGGAAGGTCATTTATGAAAATTAGAAACAACGGAGGTCCAAGAATAGAGCTCTGGGGAACACCTGCATTTATGCAAAAAGATCTAGAAGAATGACCATTCAAGACAACTTTTATTTAGTGATTTGATAAGAAAGACTGAGCCAGTTCAAAAGTTTGTCCAGAAATTCCATAACCTTTCAACATGGCCTAGTGGATTATAGACACCAATTAAAACATAAGGTTTCTTGGTAGTTGAGTTTGCATACTCTGGATCTGGTAGTGTTGAAAAGTGGAAAACAGACTGGCAAGAACAATTTACCTACCCTATCCTCACAAAATTTCATGAATGTAGTCAGCTAAGACAAAACACTGGTCCAATACTTCTATGTGCTATGTACTTTCAGGATGTAGTTATCATGGCTCTCCACAACTTCCTATCCTTTGTAGCTATTAGTAATATGTCTCTTTTCCATTCCTCTCACTCCATTCACACAAGCTAGGTAGGTGGCCTGCTGCCTCCTCTGTCCCCTTTGCCTTCAAGATATCCTGTAAGTGCCAAATTCTCTCAAAGACCTTCATTATGTCCTAGAAATTTCAGTTGTCTCTTTTTGATTGATATGTGTCTTTTTTGTTTCCATTTTCCTTAAGACTTTTTCAATGCTTACATGCTCTATCCATGATATTCTCAGAATCCTTCTGTAGAACCACACTTCTGTTGCCTCCAGTTTTCTCTTCATCTGTGAGGAAATTGTCCAGCATTCACACAGCAAAGCATATAATAATTCCCTATCTAAAAAATCTAAAAAAAAATTCTTCTGTGTTGAAGTTAAATTTCCTCTGAGCAACACCAGGAATCCCTACTGAACTCCTATTTTCAAAAAATAATAATTTCATAAAATATAGTTCAAAATATATCAAGGTTCAATTGTTAAGGAAATAAAACAAAGAATGCCTCCCCTGAAAAATGCATTTTTTTTTTCTTAAATGCTATGTCCTTTCAGGAAACAGACATAGCTCCCCATAAATTATATACATATGTATTCATCATCATCATTGTGTGAAGTTTTCTTAGATATGCTTAACCTTATCATGTCATCCTTCCTTGTCATATGGTAGTTCACCCATAGTGCATCCAGCATCTTAAAATTTTGTCGTTTTCAGTATGGTGCATAGTTCATTGTCAGTAACCACCATGCTGCATCTCATGGCTTCTTGTGATTCACATTTAGTCTGATTGCTACTTTCCAAACTGTCCAGCTTGGCTGAATGTGCCAGGATTAATACTCTTGCAGCATAACTTTGAGTCACTTGGATATGTAAGCATTGATGTCTGTATTATGAATACATGGAACAAACATATCATAAATCACAAAAAGTACAAGCTTAAAATGGTGAATTTTTAAATGTTGGCTTGATACTAAATGACCATATGTAATGAGAAAGCAGTAATTGCAATACTATGACATACTTTAACTGACCTTACCTGCTCCACTAAGTATACCAGCAATATAGTAGAGCAGTGAAACAGACCTGCTATTCAGTTTTAATACTGATCTCTGTAATTAAATTTATTATAAGATCTCTCAAAAATAGGTTACATAAATGTAATAAATACTTATATCTCAAGCTAATAGCTTAATGATAGAATATTGGATTGAACGTCATTGATTCTAATTATAATAAAAATAAAAAGCCTTACATATTGGGAACTGAGAGACAAGGAAGAAGAAACAGAGCAGGTGTAGTGAGAGGAACTAAATATCTGGTAGCAGCCAGAGGGCAATGAAGGATTGTGAATAAGAGTAAGGATTATAAAAGATAAATCAAGACGGTGATGGGGAGTTCTTATGTGTATTGTAATTCTTGTGAATGTGCAGTCAGTCTAAAGGAAGAAAATAGAAGAGAAAGTCAGGAGAAGTGCAAAGCAATTGAAGATAACAT